ATGCAACTGTGGGGTTGGGCAAATCCAAAATCTGCAGACCTGGTTGCAGATTAGAAATTCAGGCAAAAGTTGATGTTGTAGTCTTGATTCTAATGGCTGGAAACTGAAACAGATCGGTCTTCTAGGGGGAACTTCTGTCTTTTTCTTGAAGGCCTTCAACTGATTGGATGATGCTCACCCATCCTATGGAAGGTAAATCTGATGATTTACTCAAAGTCTACTGATATAAAATGTTAAATGACAACTTAAAAATCTCTCCACAGCAACATCTAGACTGTTTGACCGAATAATTGGGCACCATAGCCTAGCCAAGTTGACACAGAAAATTAACCATCCCAGAAAGTAAACTTACCAAGAGCTAATAAAAGCAAAAGAATTCCAAAGTGGGTTGGATCAGAATGAAAATGATTGGGTATCTGAAAAAGGCTGGCAGGTGCCGCATGTGGGTGGAAGAGGCAGCAAGGCTGCAGATAATGTGAGTCTGCTGGAGGGTGAAAATTGTGTCCTGAGTTTAAGTCTGCAGTAAAGGTTGTAAATAACTAAGAGCAGTCAGAGGCACACAAAGATGTCAGAACTGGGACTACTTAAGGCTCCATTAAACCAATGCACTTCATCACATGGATTTTCATTGTTTATTTTAATTTTCTTGTATACTTATTCATTATATGCTGCTCTACTCAGAGCATTTTGACTTCCTTGAACATTTATTTATTAGCTTGTTGGTGTTGGTTTTGCTTGTCAGCTGCATTATTCATTTCTGGAGTAACACTTCATACTAAGGCGGTTGTTGCTTGTTGATTGAACAGGCCAGTTGTAATTTCTCTGTACTCTATAGTGATGTCAGTTTTCTTTAACCCAAGAAGTGCTGTTTACACAAGTAAGTTGCTTTCACTCCTAGTTTTTTTTTTCACTGCCAGTCAGGTACTCACCAAACTTTGTATCTTCTTTACTCTTCTATCATGACTTCATTATCCTGTGGGCCCACCAGTTATGTACACGTCATCCAAGTGAATTATTTTGTCCACGGGCTCCACTATCTGATTTTTACATTCCCATATAGCACTTGCTGAAATTTAATTTTCTCCAAATTTGGTGACTTTAGATAATACCATAACTACTGTGGTTTTTAAACTCTTTGAAAGTCTTCGGGGCCTATAAAAGGCACAGGGCTTTAGAAAAGTAATTCTCACCTACTGGTGTGTATAATTTAGAGACCATGTAAAATGTAGATGACTGGCTCCACTTCGAAAAAATTATGATTTACTATATATGGGGACAGAGGGGCCACAAGTGTGCATTTTAAAGAAGCTACAGCTTTCCCTCTTATATGGTTAGTAGTGATTTGCTGATAATTTATCATGATGCAATATATAGTTTAAATTGGAAATCTTTTATTTTAGAATAATTTTTGATTTATGACCCAACTGCAAAGACTGTACAGAGCATTTTCATGCACATTTTACCCAGCTTCCCCTAAAATTAATATCTTACATGGTACATGTGTTTAAACTAAAAAATTAACATTGACATATTACTATTAACTAAACTTCAGACTTTATTCAGATTTGTAGATTTTTTTATACCCATGTCCTCTTCAGTGTCAGGATAGAGCTCGGTCTACCACATTGAATTTAGTTTTCATGTCTCTTTAATCCAAAGTCTATGTCCAGTTCTCTGCCTTTAATTGTTTCCCATGACCTTTATGATTTTGAGGAACACTTGAGAATTTTGTAAGATGTCCCTGGACTTGGGTTTGTTAGATGTTTTCTCCTCAGTAGACTAGGATTCTGGAATTTAGAGAAGAATACTACAGAGGTGAAGTGTCTTTCTCATCACATCCTATCAGAGTAGTGCATGATACCAATGTGACGTCTCACTGCTGATATTAACATTCATCACTTGGTTAAGGAGAGAACTGCCAGGCTTCTCCACTAAAAGGTCACTATTTTTCCCTATCCATATTCTATTTTTTAGAATCCAGCCTACACTCTGGGGAGGGCATTTAAATTCCACCTCCTGGAGGGAGGAGTATCTATGTACATTTTTTGAAATTCTTCATAAGACAGATTTGCACTTTTTTTTCATTATTTATTTGTACAATCATTTATATCAATATGGACTCATGGATATTTTATTTTATATTGTGTTATAATTTTAAAATTTTAATTCTCATGTTGCTTAAATTGTTTTAACTTTGGCCATTGAGTGCTCTTTCAGTTTGGCTCCTGATCTGCTCTTATTCTTTTGTTTTCTGAGAACTTCCTATTTTCTGTTATTACATAATACTCCAGGCTCATCTTATGTTTTCACTGCCGCAGGCCTAGAATTACTCATTTCTCCAAGGATGTCTCATTTTGCTTTTGTTATTTTGGATAATTGTATTTAGAAACCAAGATCTGGGCAGTGGATGTACTTTTCGCTACTTGGATGTCATTTTTTTCTAGTTTCTCAGCAGACAGAGCTATAAAATATATGCATGTATACTAACCAATATGTGCACACAACTATATTTATTTCTTTAACTATGTATCTCTATACAAGTTAAGCTACTACTATGTATTATACATTTTGTTTTGTGTTATCTGTTGTCTTACTGTTAAGTTTTAATAATTATTTATGTACTCTGGATATGAATCTTTTGTATAATATTCTACTTTGAAAAATGAAAAAAATGAAGTGGCTGTAAAGTACAAAAACTTTTAATGAACATGAAAAATTTTGGAGATGCCCAGTTGACCTTTAGGAGCTTCAATGTGTGTTTTTCTCTGGGATTATTTAGAATATAGAAGTTTTATTCAAACCCTCACCCACTTTAGATAAATGAGAACTCATATGAGCTTACTAGTTAGAGTACTGTTATGGAGAATTGTTGAAATATTGGCTCTTGAATTTAACATACATTCCATGGAATTTTTCCAAGTGAGAAAGTTAAAAATAAATCCATACCAAAATGGTCTTAGCAACTTCGCATTATGAAATCTACTAAATATGTTGAGAGTTTAACAGATTCTTATAATTGATAAATGAAAATATTTGTGACATATAAATAGATCTGTATGATTTCTGCTTCTCCTTTATTTAGGCACTAAATGTAGAATATTTTTATTTTCAAGTTGTAGTAATCCTATATAAAATAACAATACTTTACTGGATACTTATTCTGCGCCAAACATGATACAAAATCAAAACAAAAATATATGTTATATAGATTATCTTGATTTACACATAAACCATTTTTTGCATTAATGAGAAACCTAAGAGGAATATATATTGGTCTATTTTACAGGGGAGGAGCCACAGGGAAGAGAGGTATTGATCATGCCTTATTTACAAGGAGGAACTAAGGCATACCTGTTAGTAATGGTAGAAAACATTTTCAGCTGCACTTAACAAGGGAAATAAGAAAATTTCTTTTAAAAATGAATAAGAATGTACAGAAAAAAAATACCATGTGATGAGAAGATAATATGCTTAAGGAATAATGCAAGGTGAATTTGTCTAAAATTAAATTTTTTATAAAAAATCTTTTTCATAGTTATAGTTTTAAACACCATAAGAGAGATAAAAATTTCACTAATGTTATTCAAAGGAAAATCAAGGATTGCAACTGGGCTGAGCAGAGGGGATGAAGATACTCAGTTTGGAAAGAAAGAAGGGAAACTGTCTTTATTCACAGAAGACATTATCATATATATAGAAAATTCAATGAACTCTACAAAAATGCTCCTGAAAGTAATAAGAGAGTTTACCAAGGTTGCATGATACAAGATGGATATACAAAACTCAATATTTATATATACTAACATCAAAAAATTGGAAATTTCAATTTAAATATACTACATATAATAGTATCAAAAGCAATATTTAGAAAAAATCTGGGGAGAAACAATGTAAAAGACATATGAACTAAAAACTACAAAATATTCCTGAGAAAATTAAAAATCACATAAACAAATGGGAAAATGTACCTTTTTCAGTGGTCAGAAGACCTCCTATTGTTAATATGTCAATTACCTGCAAATTGATCTACAGATTCAACAGAATCCTAATCAAAATCCCAGCAGAATTTTTTTTAGGCATTGACAAACTTATTTTAAAAATTTCTGTAGAAATTCAAAGGACCTCGAAGAAGCAGCTTTGTAAATGAACATTGTTAAAGAACTAATATATCCAAATTTCTAGATTTATTTTAAAGCTAAAGTAATCAACAGAGGGTGAAATTTGTGTGAGAGAAAAATCTGGAAGAGAAAAGAGTGTCAAGAAATTGACCCACAAAAAAATATAGACAGCTGATATTCTACAAATTTCCAAAGGCAATTCAGTGGAGAAAATATAATCTTTACAAAAATAGTTCTGAAATTACCAGATATACATAGGCAATAGACACTTTAAAAAAAAAAGTACTTTGATCTGTATCGTGTGCTGTTTACAAAACTTTAAACAGATTTAAATTTTAAAAAATCTCTGTGACCTTTGGATAAGCAAAGTTTTCACAGATACATCAAAAGAAGTACAATCTGTAAAATAAAAAATTAATAAATTGGACTTCATCAAATAAAAAAAACTTCTCTTTGATAGACACTGTTAAGACAATGAAGGGAAAAGCCAAGGATGAAGAGAGAAATTTGCAAATCATATAGGTGATAACGGACTTAGATGCAGAACAGAACAAGAATTTTCAAAACTAAATATGATATCCAGCAACACAATTTAAAAATGGGGAAAAAAATCAACAGAAACTTAAACCAAGGAGATATAAGGATGGCAAATAAGCAAATATAGAGATGTTCAATACCAGTAGTCATTAGGACACACAAATGAAACCCAGAATGAGATTCCACTACACACCTGTTAGAATCCGGCTGCACAGGTGGCATCAGCGCTGCCCAGCCTCCAGGAAGGAACCTGGGCTGCACGTGGCTGGCGGTCTCCTAGCGACTAGAGTGGCAGGGATCAGGAACCGCGGAAACTGGAGAGGTGGCACCCCAGCGAGGGCCACCATGGGGGACCAGGGGCCGCAGGACCGGCCGAGGTCCCCGGGCATGGACTCCAAGCCCTGGTACTGTGACAAACAGCCTTCCAAGTGCTTCGCGAAGCGCAAGTACAGGCGCCTGAGGTTCCCGCCCATGGACACCCAGAACTGGGCATTTGTGACGCAGGGCGTGGACGACTTCCGCTACGGCTGTCCGTCTCCCGAAGATACGCTCGTTTGTCGCCGTGACGAGTTTTTACTCCCCAAAATATCTCTCAGAGGTCCCCAAGCTGACCCCAAAAGCAGGAAGAAAAAGCTGCGCAAGAAAGCGGCCCTGTTTTCCAAGCTCTCACGAGCCAAGCCAGCACGGAAGACGTTCGTAGAGGAAGTGGAAGCCCAGCTGACGGCCAAGCCTCCCTTGGCCATGAACTCCAATCTGGGAGAAGATATGCCTCCAGATCTCCTACTACAGGTGCTGAAACCGCTGGATCCTGAGAGGAAGCTGGAGGACACATGCGCTTGTCAGGGCCAGGGGACGACAACCGACGAACCCATGGAGCCTGGTAAATACCCCTGCAGGGAATTCTCCCCTCAGCCACCCGAGACTCGGGTGTCCTGTCTCCGCCCAGAGCCTCCCAAGACTCCGGTGTCCAGTCTCCACCCAGAGCCTCCCAAGTCTCCAGTGTCTAGTCTCTGCCTGGAGCCTCCTGAGACTGGAGTGTCTCATCTCCGCCCAGAGCCTCCCGAGACTCCGGTGTCTAGTCTCCGCCCAGAGCCTCCCAAGACTCAGGTGTTCAGTCTCCACCTGGAGCCTCCCAAGACTGGAGTGTCCAATCTCCTCCCGGAGCCTCCAGAGACTGGAGTGTATCATCTCTGCTCAGAGCCTCCCAAGACTAGCGTATCTCGTCTCCACCCGGAGCCTCCTGTGACTGGAGTGCCTGATCTCTGCCCGGAGCCTCCCAAGACACGCGTATCTCATGACCCAGAGCCTCCTGAGACTGGAGTGTCCCATCTCCACCCAGAGCCTCCCAAGACTTGGGTGTCCAGTCTCCACCCGGAGCCTCCCGAGACTGGAGTGTCTCATCTCCGCCCAGAGCCTCCCAAGACTCGCGTACCTCCTCTCCGCCCAGAGCCTCCCGAGAATGGAGCGTCTCTTCTCCCCCTGGAGCCTGCCAAGACTCGCGTATCTAATCTCCGCCCGGAGCCTCCCGAGACTGGAGTGTCCCGTCTCCGCCCAGAGCCTCCCAAGACTCGGGTGTCCAGTCTCCGCCCGGAGCCTCCCGAGACTGGAGTGTCCCATCTCTGCCCGGAGCCTCCCAATGGAGTGTCCCATCTCTGCCCGGAGCCTCCCAAGACTCGGGTGTCTGGGTCCCGCCGGAGCTCTCCTGAGATTGAGTGTCTCCATCTCCGCCCAGAGCCTCCCAAGACTTCCGGTGTCCAGTCTCCGCCCAGAGCCTCCCGAGACTGGAGTGTCCCATCTCTGCCCGGAGCCTCCCAAGACTCATGTATCTCATCTCCCTCCGGAGCCTCCTGAGACTGGAGTGTTCCATCTCCGCTCAGAGCCTCCCAAGACTCGGGTGTCCAGTCTCCGCTCGAACCTCCTGACACTGGAGTGTCCCATCTCGCCCAGGGCCTCCCAAGACTCCGGGGTGTCCCTGTCCGCCGGGAGCTCTCTGAGACTGGAGCGTCCCATCTCCGCCCAGAGCCTCCCAAGACTCTGAAGTGTCCCGTCTCCGCCCAGAGCCTCCTGAGACTGGAGCGTCCCATCTCCGCCCAGAGCCTCCTAAGACTCGGGTGTCCCGTCTCCGCCCAGAGCCTCCTGAGACTGGAGTGTCCCATCTCCGCCCGGAGCCTCCAGAAACTTGTGTATCTCATCTCTGCCTGGAGCCTCCAGACACTGGAGTGTCCCATCTCTGCCCGGAGCCCCCCAAGATACGCGTATCTCATCTCTGCCCAGAGTCTCCTGAGACTGGAGCGTCCCATCTCCGCCCAGAGCCTCCCGAGACTCCGATGTACAGTCTCCGCCTGGAGCCTCCCGAGAATGGAGTGTCCCATCCCTGCCCAGAGTCTCTCAAGACTCGGGTGTCCAGTCTCCACCCAGAGCCTCTTGAGACTGGAGTGTCCCATCTCTGCCCAGAGCCTCTAGAGATTTGCGTATCTCATCTCCGCCCGGAGTCTACCGAGACTGGAGTGTCTCATCTCTGCCCAGAGCCTCCCAAGACCCCCGTGTCCAGTCGCCGCCCAGAGCCTCCTAAGACTGGAGCGTCCCATCTCCGCCCAGAGCCTCCCAAGACTCAGGTGTCCGGTGTCCGCCCGGAGCCTCCCGAAACTAGAGTGTCTCATCTCCGCCCGGAGCCTCCTGAGACTGGAGTGTCCCATCTCCGCCCAGAGCCTCCCAAGACTCCGGTGTCCAGTCTCTGCCCAGAGCCTCCTGAAACTGGAGTGTCCCATCTCTGTCCGGAGTCTCCCGAGACTCACGTATCTCATCTCTGCCCAGAGCCTCCCGAGACTGGAGTATCCCATCTCAGCCCGGAAACTTCCAACACTCATCGGGTGTCCAGTTTCCTACTACAGGTCCTGAAAGTGGATTCTGAGAGGAAGCCGGAAGACACATGGGCTCGTTGCGAGGGTCGGGAGACAACAACCGAGGAACCCACCGAGCCTAGTAAATACCTTTGTGGGGAATCCAACCCGCGGCCTTTCGAGAGTCGGGTGTCCCATCTCCCCCTGGTGCCTCCCAAGACTCGTCGGGTGTCCAGACTCCGCCCGGAGCCTCCCAAGACTCGTCGGGTGCCCAGTTTCCACCCGGAGCCTCCCAGGACTCGTCGAGTGTCCAGTCTCCGCCTGGAGCCTCTCAAGACTCGTCGAGTGTCCAGTCTCTGCCCGGAGACTACCAAGACTGGAGTATCCCATCTAAAAGAACTGTTTCAGGAAGATACACCAAACACAACGGAGTGTGTTTCTGACTCTCTTCAACATAGATACACATCGAGAAAACTCCGTGACTTCAAGTGGGCAGGAGACCTGGGAGTTGATGAAGAATCCATCAGCAGTCTGTTTGACTTTACCCCTGAGTGCAAAGCAAACTATCAAGACCAAAAGATTAAGATGGTAAATGAGTGTTCCTCAGGGCTGAAGTGCAGCATGGAGCTAGATGACATGGATGAGGTCAAATTCTTCTCACAGAAAAAAGACTTGGACGAGAAAATCCAGACTGCATCGAATTCTTATAGTGCAGAGCATGTGAACATGGGGTATGGAGCATGGTACCTCAAGCCTAAGTTGGGACAAAAGCTAAGAAGTGATGAACCGTTGATTGACCCCAAGCTCCTACTTGAAAAGCCTGATGAACCCGACATTCTTGACGGTCTTTATGGACCAATTGCCTTTAAGGATTTTATATTAAGCAAGGGCTACGAAATGCCTGGCATCATTCAAAGGCTGTTTGCCAGGAATGGATGGACTTATGACTCTGTTAAGACTCCTATTCAACGTGCAATGCAAGTTTACAAGTACAAAGAAGACGTCACAGATGCATCGGAAGAAGATTAGATGGTTTGCAATTTACTATTTAATTGGGTATTTCTTGCTCTCATTTTAAACATCAATCAGAATTTATGATGACTAGCCCCGTGAATGTACAATGATGGCAACATCTGTAACTTCACTACCTAATGTTTATAAAGATTTCTTAATGACCTGCTTTGACTTCATTATTTCATATATTTTATCAATTATGTGATTAATATTCACATATACTTTTTTCACATTTTGAAGCATTGTGAATATTACGTCATTATTTCAATTACTTGTAAAAATACATACAACCAGAAACAAAAGCAGAATTAATCTTAGAAAGAGAAATGGGGTCGGCTGCATTGACTCACACCTATAATCCATCCCCACTTTGGGAGGCCCAGATGGATGGATTGCTTGAGCCCAGGAGTTCAAGAGCAGCCTGGGCAAGATGGTGAAACCTGGTCTCTACAAAAAATGCAAAAATTAGCCAGGCATGGTGGCATGCACGTGTAGTTCCAGCTACCTGGGGGGCTGAGGTGGGAGGATGGCTTCATGCCACCACACTGCAGTCTGGGAGACAGAGCAAGACCCTGTCTCAAAAAACAAACAAACAAACAAACAAAATGTGCTAAGTAAATTAGAATTCTGTAACTCTTCTTACACGAAAATTCTAATGAAATAATTATTATGACAATTATTTTGTTAACCAAAAATTGGAGACTATAGCCAAAATAATGTTAACACTTTTTAATAGTAAAATTGTTATCTTCCCCTTTGGGATTCCATCAACCCCCCAAAACAAGTTTGAAAACTATTTATCAAAATCGTAGTTGAAACTTGAGTTATGCCATTTTATCATATCTCTCAATAGAATGTATGTATTTCACCATGTTCATAAACCTTCACAACAAAAGACTATTACCAAATCATATAACCATGTGCAGAATTGGAGGTAGCTTCAACTCCCTGGCAAATCTCATGTGCAAAATAGGATCTGTATGAGAAAAAGCTACCAAGCAACATCAAATAGCCTTACATATCTGTTCAAGTTCAAATATTTTTCATTCCATTAATAGCAATTTAAAATGCATTCATAAGTTTAAAAAATAAATTAAGCAACTGCTTTACCTTTCAAACATAGCAGGTAAAACTGTCTGGTATATCATTTGACCCAGCCATCCCATTGCTGGGTATATACCCAAAGGATTATAAATCATGCTGCTATAAAGACACATGCACACTTATGTTTATTGTGGCACTGTTCACAATAGCAAAGACTTGGAACCAACCCAAATGTCCATCAATGATAGACTGGATTAAGAAAATGTGGCACATATATACCATGGAATACTATGCAGCCATAAAAAAGGATGAGTTCATGTCCTTTGTAGGGACATGGATGAAGCTGGAAACCATCATTCTCAGCAAACTATCGCAAGAGCAGAAAACCAAGCACCGCATGTTCTCACTCATAGGTGGGAATTGAACAGTGAGAACGCTTGGACACAGGAAGGGGAACATCACACACCGGGGCCTGTCATGGAGTGGAGGGAGGGGGGAGAGATAGCATTAGGAGATATACCTAATGTAAATGACAAGTTAATGGGTGCAGCACACCAACATGACACAGGTATACATATGTAACAAACCTGCACGTTGTGTACATGTACCCTAGAACTTAAAGAACTTAAAGTATAAAAAAAATCTGGTATAGGTAAATTTCTAGGTAAATATATTTGTAGTGTAGATCTGAAGTGCACTTTTTCTTTCAGTGATGAAAGAGTCCATCTGTAAATGGACATATATGCATATATTTCATCCAAGTCAGCAGTGATATATACATCTGTCTATGTGCAAATTCTGTTTCTAGTGAAGTTTGTCTGTGGGCATTGTGTTCCTGAAAAAAAACAAGTCTTTTTTTATGTTGTTTTCTAAGCCAAGGCCTAGAATTTCTCTTCAAATTCATCATCATAAACTTAGGTTCATGTCACCACTATCTCTTATTGTATTTCTGCAACGGTTTCCAACCCGTGTCTCTTCTTGAGTGTATTTTTGCAAAATACAAGCATGGCTTGTTAATTCTCCAGGCTCATCTAAACTTATCTAGGTACATAAATACTCACACACATGCATACACATACACGTACATGCTCCTGCATTCCAGACTCCAGTTAATATTCTTTTTCTTACCTCTGTGTGTTTCTTGTGTCTTTGTACATAATCCTCTCTACTGTTAGGACTTCACTCAGGCCATGTTTCAGTGCTCTCCCATGTTTCAGTGCTCTCCCTGTTTCAGTGCTCATCCTGTTTCAGTGCTCTCCCCATCAAGGTCAATTTCATGATTACTTTTATTAAGATCTTATATCTGTAGACAAGGACCCTCATTTTCCAGTTGTCTTCCACTGAATAACTTACATCAGTATCCTAGAGAAATAAGTCATTAATGCCTTCAAAATAAGGGAAATTCCCATACTTATTTATTATGACTTCTGAGAGGCCAATACCATGCCTTATGGCTCAGAGTTATCTGGTTTCTGAGGTTCTCCACTGAAGCCTTGGGCTTCATGCAGCAGCATTCGACGTTCACTTCCTTTCAGTAAGAGACAGACCTACTTTTCCACATTTGGTTATGTGACCTTGCACTTCACGGAGGATGTATCCTCATCTACACAATGGACACCATATGATCAAACTCCAATTCTGGTGAGACTTAAAGGATTACTTATTGGAGTGCCTAATGCCTCAGGCATCACAGAATTAATACAAAACCTGTATTTGTGGAAGAGAAGGAGGGAGTTGTAAAGGAAGAAGGATACGAAAAATATCACAACAGAAATACACTATAAAAACATAACTTTTTGATGGTGTTTATCTGGTGATAGCCTTCACCTATATCACACACAATCTTAGCCATTGCTTAACATGAAAAAGTAGTGCTTGCTTTGGCTGCACATATACTAACCTTAAGATGAAAAACTGTAATTGCAAAATAAGAGCCACTGGTTAGGGTTCCTGTTGCTTCTTGGTAATGGCTACTTCCAGTGAAATAAACTTTCCTCAGAGAAACTATGTGGATTTCTCCATGTTGTAATTACACACATTGGTATTAGTTGTCACACAGATATAAACAGAAACAATGTTTGATCTATTTGGATTTTTAACACCAGTTGGACTTCTGAAAACATCCTGACTTCAAATCCATAGGTTTTAGAAAGAGAGAGAATTCAAGAGAGCTTGATATATAATTGTTCCTGTGTAGCCTAAAGCTATGAATGGTATATTCCACAAATACTGTAGTAATCAATTGGATTACAGCATCACATAGGTTTCACAAAAGCTTTGGAGAATTTGATTGTAGGAATATGTGATTTAACAAAGATGAAGGAAATTATTTTTCATTTCTGAGAGTCTGAATGAATGAGCAAGGCCTTTGGAGCTAGGCAAAAATGAGTTCACATCCCAGTGCTGCCATGTTCTTATCCAGTTGCTTTAGGCAGAGGCAGAACAGGAGGAGGGAAAATACAGAGGGTGGGCTGAAGGGGAAGGAAGCTAGGAACCCCTCCTAGGGCTGGTGCACACCGGAACATGTTCCTGGCCCCCAGTGACTCCTACAGAGGGGATGAGTTTAACAGACCCACTCTCACCCTGGGCCTTTGGAATCTCAGCAAGAGGAGACCCTAGACCACCATGGACACTTGAGTTGGCAGGGAAAGCTACTTAGAGAAGTGGTAGAACTGCAGTCACAGGCAGAGCACAGAGGGTGCCCCGTGGGAGCAACTGTAGTGGAGCACTGTCTGAGATGTGCATCCCCCTAGGCTAGAATTGCTTGCATAGGATAATTTAGCCCTAGGGGAACTTTTGGACCTGAACTCTGCAGGGCAGTCTTACCCATGAGACAGGACTAGTCCAACCTGAGCACCTCTCAGTCTGCTGACCTCCTGTGGGGCCCCAGCCTGGCCACAGCTGCCAGGTGCCTCTTGGGGCCCACATTACAGCTGGTGGACCACACCTGACTGGCAGAGTGCTCCAGCAGAGTGGCCTCTGAAAACACATAACAGCTCGTTTGCACCCATGGCCACCCTCCACATCACGATGCTGGTACGTATATGCCCAGGCAGACCTAGCCTTCTATTCCCCGCCAGCACAATGGTACACCTGCACCCTGTCTTGCCACTGCTGCTGGAGTGAGTGCACCTCCTCCCCCCAGCCCCCACCCCACCACACCGCCATTGTCTTCAGAACATTGGTGGGCACAGAGCCCCTCAGCCCCCACTGTCAGCACCCTGCCCCTGAGCCTGGGCCACCAGAGCAAAACTAGGCATGGAAAACAGTAGACTACCCCCTAGCCTTGAGCAGCCACTGCTGTCAGCGTGAACGTGCACAGAGGGCACACACAGTCCTGCACCCACCAATGCTCCCACCTCCACGCTATAACCACCACCTGCAGGGACATGCACACAGTCCCAGTGGGGGCTCCTCACCCCCACCAAGCCATACTGCCACCACTGCTGCTGCAAATACTCACATCAAGGCTAGCAGCCCGGCCGTGGAAATAAAAAGGATTATAAGAGACTACTAAGAATAATTATGTACCAACAAATTGGAAAACCTGGAAGAAATGGATAAATTCTTATAAACGTATAACCTACTAAAACTGAATCATGAAAAAAATAGAAAATCTGAACAGATTCATAACTAGTAAGGACATTGAATCAGTAATCAAAAACCTCCCAACACACTGGGCATGGTGGCTCACGCCTGTAATATCAGCACTTTGAGAGGCCGAGGCAGGTGGATCTGTTGAGGTCAGGAGTTCCAGACTAGCCTGGCCAACACTGTGAAACCTTGTGTCTACTAAAAATACAAAAATTAGCTGGGCGTGGTGGCGGGCACCTGTAATCCCAGCTACTCTGGAGGCTGAGGCAGGAGAATCCCTTGAACCCGGGATGCTGAGGTTGCAGTGAGCTGAGAACGAGCCACTGCACTCCAGCCTGGGTGACAGAGCAAGACTCCATCTCAAAAAAACAAAAACA